TGTGGGGTACTGTTGGCTGAGCTTATCCTGGTTTGTTGGTTTATTAGGGAAAAAAAAGCGGGCTTATCCGGTTTTTACTGGCGGCCACTCTAATGTGAGCCGCTGAGTGCTTTGCGCACCTGGTTTGACGACAAACTTTGCTGATTCGGATTTGTGGATTTGTGACGTTTGTTGGAATGGCGAGCCTTTCTCCTCCATTTGCTTCACACGTGGGTTCATGTAACTCTGTGACTTGGGAACTTGTTTTGTCCATCTCGAGAAGAAAGGGCAATCTCTTAATACAGAGCAAAACAAATATCTGACTGCTTAATCTTAGAGAGTAGACATACATCCTTCATATCAATTAACTTTCCCTTAGACTTTTCCCTTAGACGAACAAATTTGCTGTGTCATGAGCCTTAACTCATACGTCATTAGGAACAATAATTGAGGAGTGATTGATATGAGTCTATTAAAACTACCAATCTGTATTATTAGTGCTAAAATATTCCCAAAAAAAATGAATCATAAGTTTAAGACTATATAAGATCAACATATAAAATATCATGTGAAAACAAAGGAAATATTTTTTTTATCTAATAAATTCCGGATGGATAAATTACACTAACAATTCAAATTTAATATTTTTAATTTGGAAAGGATTTTATTTTGAATATTAAAATAAAAAAGCAAGATTTATGAAACAAGGTTACTTACCGCATAATAATAGATTTCATTGGATTTTTTGTTCAACAATCTACAATTTTATAGCATAGAGTAGCGGATTAGGCGACTGGTAGATGTGTTCAAGGGTTGGGCAATCCGTCTAGGCATGTGAGCTTGGCCCAACTCAAATTAGGTTTAAACATAAACTCGATTATATTATTTTATTAATAAACAATATACATTTATTTGATTTTAATTTTAAAAATAATCTATTATTTTAATAAATAAAATAAAAATTAAATAGATGATTCTAGTTTCATTTTATAAATGACAGATTGAATTAAATTTACCAATCAGTTTGTACAAAATGTTCCTTTTACGTGTTAAAAGAAACAAATAGTTTGTATTAAATTAATGTATAACGAAACTATCCATATAAGGCAGTTCATAGTTTCTGAAAATTTGATATAATAATAAGAGTTAAAAAAGCATATTTTTGTGTAAATATCAATAAAAGAAAAAGAATAAAGGAAATTTACCTACCGTACTTTTGGGCATGTAGCATACATATGCTGGTAAATATTGTTGAAATTAATCCTAATTAACGACATTATGATTGGATAAGAACATCTCTCCTTTCCGAAAGTTAGGCTAGTGCTGAAAAATGGGTCCAAGTCAAAAACGAAAGTGGTTTAGATCATTAATAATGGTAATACTATTGCAATAATATTCTGCTGCCTGTCGGTGACGAACGAAAAGATTACAACTCAAGCGTTGGATCCTCCACTCCTTTAGCGAAAGCTCCACTTCCTGAACCCCTTCTAAAAGAATAATTTGTGCAACAACAGTATTATAAATCCTAATTATATAACCTTAGAATTGGAAGATATTCTCCGTTGATTATAGTTTTAAATATAGATTTATTTTTGTATTATATTTACCATAATATTTACTGTCCTAAAATTGACATCAATAGAAACAAAATACCATCAGAAGCCAAAAAAAACCTCGTAAGAGGTATTTTCTCTACTAAGCCTCAACAGCACAACCACGGCCTCTTGAAAAGCAAAAACCCTCCAAACGTTTTCCCCTAAGCCAGCAAGCATCCACCCCAAGCAAGCGTCCCACAACATCCAACAAACATAAGACACCAAAATAGCACAAGACCAAAATTAGAAAAAAGAAAAAAAAAATCTTTAGACAACAACTTAAACACCAAAAAAGAAATAAAAGAACAGACGCATCCTCTCCCTTTTTTCTTTTTCTTTTGGTGTCCTTTTTTCATATTTATATTGTACTTTACAAAATTTATTTCTGAGTTGATTTACTGGATGAAATCTTTCATAGATTAAGATTAAAGATTATTTTTTAAGAAATTGTGAGGAATGACATTCCTGATAAAGATAATTTTAAAAATAATCATCAAAATATATTTAATTATTTTTTAATCAATATTCACCATAAGATGACAAAAATGCTCTTAAAATTATTCTAAACAAATTAAATGCTTTCAATTTTTCTTTTTTACCATTTGTTTGTTGTATTCCCTATTTTGCGGTGAGTTCTATTTTTTTTTTCGTTATTTGACTTTATCTAATTTTACCATCATCACCATTTTTCTCTATCTCTCGTCATCTTGTCAAATTATCGTTGATTTACAAACCAAAGTGTATAACATGAAAGCAATAACATATTTTTAGATTTATTAGTTTATATTCACAAAACCCTTTGTCATCAATTTACAGACTAAAAAGTATGGCATAGTAAGTAACAACAAGTTATTAGGTTTATTAGTGTTGAGTTTTTCAATAATTCAAGTCTGATAGAATATGCCTTAGCATCGAACAAAGTGATTCATGCCTTGGCATGTAACATCGGTAGAAAAAAAGAAGTTTTAACATGTAACATCTGGTGTTGAAGCTTTGGTTTTTACATGTAACACTTAGTACTGAAGCTTTGACCTTAACGTGTAACATTTTTTGCTTTAACTTTTGTGTTTTAGCTTTAACGTATAACATCTGATGCTGTAACTTTGACCTTAGTATGTAATATAACATTTTTTGCTTTGACTTTGGCGTTGGCCTATAACATTTGGTGTTGAAGCTTTGGCCTTGAAATTTAACATTACTGCTGAAGTTTTGGTAGGTAACATTTTCTGTTGAAGTGCTTAAGCATGCAGTGTCATTTTGTTTTTCTTTTTTGTTATTAAATATGGTGTGTAACTTGTTCCTTTGTATTTTCACTACAACATAAAACTTTTGAAATTAAAACCTTTTTTCAATTGTAATAATATTTTTAAAACATAGTATGTAATAACAACATTTTATAAATATAGCATGTAACTTGTTATCTATCTTTATATTTACTGGGATATAAACACTTAAAATTACTTTTACAATAGAGATAAAAGTTTAAAATCAAAAAAGAATTTAACATGAAAATGAACATATATTGAAAAATTATTCAACGTCATTGGATGAAATGAATTTGGACAAAAAGATATTATTTAAATAGATAATTAGGTTTTTTGTTATTTTCTTTGTTTTATAGTAAAAGAAAATTAAAATATACTAGTATTATAAAGAAATGAGAAAGATATCGAATCCATTAAAGCAAAATTGAAAATCAACAAATTGGAGCTTAATTTTGCTAATATTAATATACTTTTCAAGCTTCCCAATGAACAAAATACAACTTGTCCATGACATGAAACATGCGACAAAAACAATAAAATCAATGCTCATGACAAGCACAAAATTTTTAAAAAAGCTCTGGTCCATCCGACAACCCCTCCGAAAGCCGCATCGCTTGTTGTTCTTCTCCTCCTCATGGTTGCAACTACGGCTATTATTTCTCTTGGTGGAGCTGTTTCAGTTGCCATTTTTGAATCGATTCAAATTTAAGATTCTGTAATTTGAATATAATGAGATTTTATTAATAGTAATTTTATCTAAAAATCTTTTCTTTTAATTAAAAATAGTCAAAATTAAAAAAATGATTATTTTTAAAAATAGCTTATTTTTTAGGGATAAAACAAATCATCCCATTATATTTTTCATTTTTAAAAAACAATTAAAAATAAAACTTTAGGACGATATGTCTAAACTTGTATTCATCATCTTATTGTATTGACATAAGAATAAAATGACAAATTGAATTCAAAAATTGTTTTGTAAGTTTACCAATTCAAATAACAAAATTTGAATTTATTAAATACAGTTTCCTTTGGTTTCTTATATGGAAAGAAACAATCCTAGAAATTGGGTTGAATATTAACTTTTTCTTTTACAAATAGAAATAATGGAAAGATTTCCAAATACATCTTGATGCCATAGCAAAGAAACTGAAGTGGCTTCCATAAGGGAGTTGGATCTTAAATAATTTGTGATGACTTTCAAAGTTAGAGAGACAACTCAATTTTTTTTTCAAGGTTGTTTCCATGTTTTAAAAATATAAATAGTTGAAATTTATGTGATAGTTACTAACTTCTTATTAATAAAAAGGATGATTTTGATAAAAACTCTTATGGACCAAAGAGACTTAGGATTTTTTTTTAGATAATATTTAAAAAGAATTAAATTATTTAAAAATTAAAATAATTATTTATTTTTTTATTGTATTTAATTGAGTCATTATGCTTTTATTTTAAACTAAATAGATTCTTATAATTAGCATTTGACTAATTATTATTTATCATTTTTATATTATATGGTATTTATGTATGTTATAATAAATGATAACTTGATATGTTTATGTGACATGATGATATTATTATATAACATTTTTACCTTTTAAATTAATATCATATAGATATAAAATGATAATGAACGTTTCAATTAAAGATATAAGAGTTTATTTAACCCTTTACAATGTTTGATTGAACTCAATAGAAAATAAAAATTTATTTAAATTTATTTAAAATAATTCAAAAATTTTTTAAAGCATTATATTTTTTTATTCAAAATTATTCTAAACATAGTTATCCTCAAACCCTAATCTCCTAAAAAATTAAAAATACTTAGTTGTTTTGATATTAAAAATATATAAATTACTTTAGAGTATTTGACTTATTAATTATTAAATATTTTTTAAAAAATAAGATTTGAATCTATTTTCTTACAAAAAAAAATCTAACAACATTACTTATTTTTAAAACACGTTGGTGCTCTGTTTGGTTGAATTCACTTTCAGCATCAATTATTTTTCGGTTTTCTCTTTCCAGTTCTGAAAAAACAAACAGAGCACAAAACTATCGGCAAAAGCTACATTATTACAGCACAAAAAAAAAAAAAGAAAAAAGAAAAACCCGTGTATATAGCGGGAAAAAATATAGTAGCAGATGAGGGGTACGGTGTTGCAACGTTCACCAAAAAGGGTCTACAACCATTCACACCGCAACTCTTTTTCTCTTGACTCCTTCCCCTCACTTCCATTTTCACCTTCTTTCCTTCATTCTCTCTCTCTCTCAAAAAAAAAAAAAAAAACCTTTGGGAGCGAGGGTTTTTGTTTCAAAGCCCATGGAGGGCTCGTCTTCTCAGCCCTTTGATCATGATCAAACACCTTCTGGCGCTTCCAAGTTCCTCTGCAACCTTCCCTCTCGTGGCCACCTCTCTTCAACCGTCATTTCCTCCAATCTGGTTTTTCTTCTTTTTTTACCGTCCCCCCATTTTTTTCACTCCCTTATTTAATTAATTTGTTTTCTTTTTAATTCTCTATTGGTATATCTGTTTCTTCATTTTTGTGCTTTAGTCCCCAATAAAATGCGACAAGTGAAAGTAGTGAAATTGTTTGGTAAAGTAAATTAGTTTTACTGTATTCAGCCTAAAACAAGGGTTGGGATTAGCTTAGGAGAATAATCTTAAAGTGGGATCGTATGATTTTCGCAGCGAAAGGAGATAGTTTAGGGTTCTAAGTCGACGCTTTAGGCTATGTCGAATTTATGGCATTTTAATTACTGTGTTCATTGATGAATGGTTCCCCTCCTAAATGTGAGTAAGTTTGATGTTTAATTGGTGATTACCTAGGGTTAACGGTGGAGCATTTGACATTGAAATTAGAGAGCAAATTGTTATTTTAGCTAAGGAAAATCTTTATTAGTGAAATACACTCTTTTTTTTTTTTATATTGGGTCAAGATTTGTTTATAGAGATGTGTTTTAAATGAGGATCTCTTAGGAAGAACCATTTTTGTTTTCCTTAGGAAAATTCTTTTAGGGCGTCTTCATTTCAACTTGAGATAATTTCCTGTGATTTTAGGGTACTAGACACATGAACCAACCAATATAAAACAATGTCATTGTCGTCTTTGCCTGTTTAGCGTTCCTATTCTAAACATGTCTCCATTTGCGCAGATGCGTTTGATACAGCATAACCTTTATCCTTGCACTGTCTGATTGTTCCTTTCATATGTTAAGTAGTAAGGGTTTATGAGACAGCTGGTTAGACCCCAGGATTCTTATGCTTTACAGTGGTTTTGGGATTTTGGACATGTTATCTTTCTTTTTGAATGTCCAGTGCTCTACTTTTCAAGCTAGAGCAATTTCCCCAAGTGTTCTGTTCTTCAATGGGGTCAAGAAACTTCTCAAGTAACAGCTTTTTGTTACCTCTCTGTATCACCATACCTTTTGCGTTTCCAATTACTGTTAACTGTATCTTGTCACACTAAGATTTTACATTACGAGGATTCTGGAAGATTGTAAGACAATTGAGCTCCCTGCCCATTTGGCTTCTTCTGTCTCCCCTGCTTTTATTTTACTTGTTAAGATGAACATCCTAGTTTATGATTCCAGCCTCTTGGGCAGCTACGTTTCTGGAACCTCTTTAAGTAATCCATGCTATTTCTTTCAAGGAGTCTCCCTGAAACACATAAAAAAGTAAAACCTGTTCCCAGTTTCATTTATATAGTATGCCTTTCAAATGGAAACAAGTGAAGAAGAGTTTCTTATTTGGTTAAATTAATGATTCAGCTCGGGAAGGCTTCTTAAAGGATACTTGTTTGGTGGCTATCTAGCTTGAATTATTGCAATAACTAGTTTCTTTCATGGAATGCATCATTGGATCTTTCTAACAAATATTGTCCTTTTCATTTAATTGTTAATATTTCTCGCCCAAATTGTTATCTGCTTTTATATTTTAAACTGATTATCCTTTTACTCCTCTGGACTTTTTTTTTGAAAAAGTTAGATGCTTGTTCCGAGAGCCTGTCATTATGTAAAATGATGTTGCTTACATTGCAAAATTTTGCAGGGGGGAATGCGAATTTACATTTGTGAGCACAACACAACTCCGCCAGGTTTCTGTAAATTCAGCTTACTAAGGCTTTGCTATATGTTTTGAGAGTTTTCCCATTACTTTTGTTTAATTTAACTTTGTAGTGGCACTAGCCCTCAAAATCTCTGCTTTTGCACAATGAGAATCATTTATCATTGTTGTTAATGCTATTATTTCTATATTTAATGCATAGGATCTTAAGTGTACTTTAATATTTCCGTATTAAAAAATGGTAGTCTAAAATTCTGACTTTTTCAGTAAAGGACTTCAAAATAAATGTGTGCAACCTGTTTGGGAGGAATCTCTAGGTAGCCGTCTGCCAACTAGTGCATTCTAGTTTTTGTGAAAGAGGCTTAGACCGTTATTGCTCTTTGATTGGAATCTCATTATTGAAGAAACAATTCTTAAGACTTACTATTCTTAATTGCATTTTGGTACCTGGTTTGCCACATTGTCATTGGTTCGTTTTCTTTGTTTGACTAAATTAAAATTATAATCAATGTGTACTTTTGAAGCTTACCTATTTTATGAAAATATTAACAGAAAGTGATTGAAAAAATTCATTGAAAACTTCAGGTCTGAAACTCACCAAAACAGTTTATTTATGTGACTCCTTTGTATGGGAGCTTAACATTCTCAATGCTAAGTATATGCAGATTTTATATTCTTTCAGAAATATCTTAAGGAAATATGATGCCCTATATCTATATTTCTTCCTAGCTGTAACTTAGTTACATATTTATAATTGTATAAACATATCATCAGTGTTGTATGGTGATTTAAATTTTTCTATGTTGATTTGATCGCTATGTTATGTGTTGTTGGTTCCATGTTTTATACATAAATGCAAGAAGTAGAGTAAACACCCAAAACTATGTTATAGTCCTCTTGGGTATAATTTGAATATGCATGCTTTTTTCTGCTTTTTATCTTGTGGAATCCCCAGAAGATGGGCAGTCATGCAAGAACATAGTTTTGAGATTTGTTCATACTCACAAGCTAGATAATCTTTCTCTCCCTTGTACGTCCAGAGAGCCAGCTCATAAAGACAAATCAACAAAACATACTTATTAGATCGCTCATGCTCAATAACAAGAAGGGTGATTCCAGTTCAAAGGATGTGAAAGTTTTAGCTGAGGGTCCTAGAAAGAGGTATTGATTTTATCTTTCTTGGGTGAATGATATTTAACTTGTCTTGTTACATTATTGTGTATAATTCTGTTAATGGTCTTATGAAGTTATGATTCTTTTTAACCCTCCTTTTGGGTTCAGGATGTAAGCATGCTTCTGTAGCTTAGTTCAGCCTGCTGTTTGTAGCAGATTGTATGGATTACATGATGTACTATTGCATTCCTGTAGATATCTAGAGCAAAAGATATGTTATTACTTGTCATCATACTTGATGTCTAGGCTAGATTGTTTGATGCCTGCCAATTTTTTCCGCCAGGGCTGCTGAAAGAGTCATGGATAGTAGGGCTTCAGCAAAGAAAGCCAATACACAAAGTGGTTCTCGACCGGGTTAGTCAATAGATGTTTCATACTAGTACTTATGTGTGTATCTACATGCATGGGGTCAACATTGTCAAGAAACTAGAATGTCACCATGGTCATTTATAGCTGGTATTTTACTTTACATGTTAAAAGCTCATCTATAGTACAATTCAGTCTCTAGATTAAACAATAATTGTTGTACAGAATGGTTATTTAATACTGATGCAGTATTTTAGGAGTAGCTCCATTCTGTTTTACATGTTTTATGTCAGTCTTGGCCTATCTGTTGGTCCTTCAGGCTCTCGATTTAAAACTTTAATTCTCTCACAATATTGTTGATCACCTCGGTAGGGGTTGAATCTTTCACTTTGCATATTGCTTATCCATACAGACCTATTAGATTGAGACGGATATGGAAAATGTCTTTAATTAGAAGGAAATATACAATATATGACACTGAGATCTTGGATTTACATTTGGATGGGTATAGTTAGACTGTTAGAGATTTCAAATGTTTCTTTTTTCTTCTGATTGATTTCTAGTGATGAGTTTGCATAATTTAGTTAGCAACTTGGTATGTAATATTGTAGCAATTCCATTTTCAGAAAACCACCCTATTGACCTGTAGCATCAGTATGAAATTTTTCTGCTGAAATTCTGTCTCGATTATTCCTTGTTTAGTGCAATGATCTTGTTATTCTCAATATTATTAGTTGTATTATTATGTTGAGTTCCCCTAACAACTTAAAAACTTGCAGAGGGATCAAGCAGTCGTGCGACTGAGAAGGATTACCATAGTTTGACTGTAGAGAGGCTTCGTGCCCTTCTCAAGGAAAAAGGACTTTCACCCAAAGGAAAGAAGGCATGTTCTTGTGAAAACTATCTTGGAAACTGTCTTGAAGTCTTCTTTTAATTTTAAGCTTTTGGATTGATTATGTTTAGTGGTCCAAGAATAGCGATTCATTCGCTTTATGGGTGCAATGCAACTACATTCTCAAGACTGTGATAAATGAGAGTGTCTACATCGATGCTTAAGCTAGTTACTGTTAAATTCTGGTTGTGTGCCCATCTAATGATGGATTGAACTGTGCAGGATGAGCTGATTGCTCGCTTGAAATGTGTAAATGGTGGACCTCAGAAATCGGATTGACGCAGCCAGAGATAAGAGAAGTAGTCTGCGGTCATGTTTTCTTTGGTGTATCTTAAGACGGTGGCCCCGGAAGGAAGAGTTGACTTAGAATAGTGCTTTTTGAAAACAATTAGAATGAACCAGAGACGGATCGATGGAGGAATAGGGCAGGGAGCTGCCTCCGCTGAAATCTAAAAACTTCTTTTCCTTTTTTTTTTTGTAATATTCTGTAATTACTATAAGTTTAAGAACTGGTTTAGTTTTGCTTTTATTGAGATTTAATTAGCATCCTACTTTAAATGGATTGGTGGTAATATTGCATGGCCAGTAACCTCTCTAGGAAAATAAATTTTGGTCATAAAACCAAATTAACGTAGGTAGAGTGTCTTCTTATCGAAATAATAAATTTCATGTAAATCATAAGAACGTGATGAAAATTCATTGTTCAATCAAATATAAAAATTTTGATAATTGGATATCATTTCAGGAAGCAGCAATTTTGATACCATAGGTGATGGGCCCATTAGATCTCAATGGCTCACACGGTGATGGTTAACATTGACAGGGCGTGAGAGAGATTTGTACCAGTTTAAGACCGTGCTCTGTCGGTGCCAGTCCCTGTCAAATCTTTACTTTGGCAAGTCAGTTAGAAATCAGGCTGCAACGATTGAGTGCCCACCACACGATGTGCTCGCACCATATTTAAAAAGATTGTTATGCTGGGTTAAGCTGCAAAGAAGCGGCTCTGGTTTGAAGTTTGACCTATGACTTTGATTATGAGAGATACGCGATCTACCGTATGGGTCCAGCATTCAGGCCTCATCACGAGTAGCTACTAACTTGTTGACAATTAAGTTTAACTGGGTCCATCTACGCTCCAAATTTAGGATGCAACTTTACTAATTTGTTTAGTAAAGATTTGAATCTTAGAATTAAACGTGTGCAAGTCACTAATTTGTTTTTAAAATATCTTTTTTTTTTGTCCTTTTTGGCCACTGAGTTTTAGATAAGGCAGTGTGGGTGTGGCACTTCATTGCATGCTTACCCCTGCCCTGCCGGGATGTATTAGAGAAATTTACTGGAGTTCGCCGTCAGTGACTTTTCTTTTTAAGGCGAATTAATTATATAGAGTATTGATATAGTACATCATCTGAATTCTTAGTTGTATGTATCACTATAATTTGGTATTTAATATTAAATATTAAGTATAAATAGCATTGGTGGGTCGGCAAAGGCATGCAAAGTTTTCATCAAATAAAGGAGTTTTACGTCGACTGCTTCAAGAGAGAATTCTCCATTTAGATAGCAGCTGCATTTCAAAACCCGCTGACTGGGATGACAGTGACCGCGCAGCTAAGATAATTGGCACATGGAATTGAAGTTGCAAGCATAAGGCTGGACAGGACAGAGTGGGTTAATCACGCCAAAGCTGTCCTTGCCCTAGGTGGGTGGGGGTGCCTACTGCCTAAGGCTTGGCTTGCTGCCCAATACTGGACGAAGACAGCTAGTGGACGGTGCACGGTTCCATCAATTAAGTCTTGCTCGGCCAAAACGAACCCAGGGCCCACCATCTGGCTACAGCACCAAGTATATATATATATATATATATATATATCTCAGCTTGGTGCTGGCAATGCGCATCCCCCAACCCAACCCTAGGTTTGGAGTTTACTGGTCCCTTGCAGCCGGCCAGGACGGCGCCGTAGTTATCTCATTTTATGTGGCAAATGATTGAATGAATGAGTATAGGGTCCTGACGATTATGTAAGGATAATGACAGGTGTTGGAATGTCTTTGGTCATAACGATTACGGCGACACCTTAAAACGTCCATATGTAACTTGGGTGACTTGGACACGTACTGCGCTGCGTAAGAACTTCCCCACGAGGTTTTAGTATTCTACAATGCAAAACTCATTAAAATTTCAAATATCCTACAACTACAAAGTTGACTGTCTCACTTCAAAGATTATAGTACTTTTATGTAATTATATATATATATATACTGTTTTTGTTTTTTTTTTGAATCAGATTAAGCCCATCTTAACTAAGAGGAATGCAAATCTTCTGTTCCGAATTGGATTGTTCTTTAACTTTGCGCTTCTCCATGAACAAGTAGTCATCAGTTAAAAACTCAAGTGGTATTTATCTTCTTTGTTATTCCCTGTTTTAGCAAACCCATAATGGACCCCATTGGAGAACTTAGATCCGAAAAAAACACAAAAGCCATCGTTGGGATTCTTGGCTAAAAAAGGGATCCAGTGGACAGCTAACTTGCCAATGGCCTTCGATTAGCGTGGTTTGTGATATGTTGGTGGGTATTGTTGGCATGATTTTATGTTTTGGCTGCTGTGTTGTAACCTGATGTAGTTATGTCTCGAGATAGTGTCATTATTCCAGTTTATGCAGTGCTTTGAGGATGGTAGGGTGTGAAGGCGAATCTGATTCTATTTCATGCTAAAGGAATGGAGGATGGTCTTTTTACTCATTGTGTTTCTCTTGTAGATTCTGTGTTTTTGACTCTTTTGCTATACAGGAATATTATGTCTGTGGGATGATTTTTGGGTGGGGTTTAAGCTCTTTGTTTTCATCCCAAGTGTAACCAAATTTTTTTATTTAGATATTTTATACGCAGATTATTAGCAATAAACTAAAAAGGAATTGATAAATATAATAAAGCAAGTGAAATATTAAAAAAGTTTGAAACGTGAGATCACTGTCTGTAAAGATAATTTTCACCCATTCAGAGTATAAAACTTAATGTAAAAGGACAGTAACAATTATTTTTCAAGATTCAACACACCCTTTTTTATAGTTTACACAAACTATTAAAAGATAGCAGGAATAACAAAAAAAATTTCTTACAAAAATAAAACCCAGCAAGAGAGGAAGGAAAATAGAGAAAGTTTCAAAAAAGATGAGAGGGTTGGTGTGTTTGTAAGTGAGGTAGGCAGGTTGTATTTATAGGCAAAGCAAAATGTTAACATTATAGAAAAATAGTATAAAATCAGCATAAAATCAATATAAAATCAAGATGTTGAGTCAAATAAAATATAACATTTAAGAAATATTCTAGACATTTAAGGTTAAGCAAGATAATAGGCAACGTCTCAAGAAATATTCTATACGTTTAAGACTAAGTTAGATAATAAGGAACGTTATAAAGATCAAGTCAGATAAAGTTAAAAGACTTATAGGACTAGGTCAGATAACAAACAAATATTCTGGACGTTTAAGACTAAGAGCCTATTTGGCCTAATTTTTTTTTTAACTTAAAAGCTATTATGAAGCTATTATGAAAAATAATAACATTTAAAATTAAGCTAAAACTATTTAATAAAATAAATTATATAAGCTCTAATTTCAATTAAAATTACCATAAGGTATTTATGTTATCTTTAATTACCTAATAAGTTACAACGTAATGTTTCAAGTTTATATATAATTTCAGATATTAAAATTAAAAAAATCAATAAAGAAACGAAATAACTCTTAAACTTGTATAATAGCAATAGTATTAGATTTTTATTGATCTAGCAAGCAATCAGACCATTATACTTCAATTCCAAAAAAAGAAAAGAAAAGAGGAAATGATGTATTTACATTAAAATCTTTTTTTTAAAAAAAAGAGAGAACATTTAAATAGTATCTAAATGCAGTTTTAAATTTTAGATATTTTTTCTCTTAATCTTTATAAGAACAAAAATATTTTGGATTTTGATATTTTGTTATTGGGTCTTTTGTTTTTTTTATTAGTTTTTGTAAAGAGAGGCAAAGGAAAGAGAGATCACGATTTATGTTAAAGAATAGTAATTTGCAGAGGAAAGGAGATGAGATGGAGATTGATTGAGATAGGGATATTTTCAAAAAAATTGATGTATTTTTTTTAAAAAAAAAAAGAGAAAAGAAAACTCCTCCATGAAGTTTCTTTTTAAGCTTTTTTTAAAAAAAGTTTGATCTTTAAAAAAAATTTATTTTTTAAGATTTTCTCAAAAATTATTTTTAACTCGGCTTTTTCTTTTAAGAGATAAATAAACTGAAAAAAAAAGTCAAGCCAAACAAACATTAAGTTAGATAACAGGCAACATTATGAAGACTAAGTCAGATAAGGTTAAAAGACTTATAGGTTGAGAAGTTATGTTTGACCTGACTTTTACTTTTAATAGATAGATAAGTTAAAAACAAACCAAGCCAAACATGTACTAAGTTAGATAGCAGGCAACATTATTAAGACTAAGTCAAATAAGGTTAAAAGAAATAAACACTAAGTCAAATAACAAGTAACATTATTAAGACTAAGCCAAATAAGGTTAAAAGACTTGTCACGGTGCACACAAATCCTTGTGAGGTATTGTTCGTTTTGGCTCACTAGCTGCATGGTTTTGTCCTACAAAAGGGACCTCATAAGTTGAAGGTGATGTGAACTCTTATATTCTCAAAATCACTCTAATACATAGTCAATGTGGAATTCATGGCTCCCCTTTAGGACCATGACATCCACACTTACTCCTCGTTGAGAGCTTTTTTTTTATGTGGACCCTTACTCCCCATTAGAGTTTTTCTTTAATGTGAGATTTTGTGGCTTGACCCATTGGGAGCATTATCTCAATAATGTGGGCTTCACGGTCATACAAGGACCGTGACATCCTCCCCCACCTCAACAAAGGTCAATGTCTTCAATAGCATATTGCTAGTACTCAAGGTTCACACTGATATCAATTGGCACGGTCCACACCAACCCTTATGAAGTATTATATTTTTTGGCCCACTGGTCTCACACTTTTGTCCCACAAAAGGTGGGACACAGGTTGACAGTTGTGCTAACTCTTATATTTTCAATACCACTTTAATACAAATCCAATGTAGGATTTATGGCTCTTCTCTTACATCCACTATTACTCCTCGTTGGGAGTTTTTCTTTGATGTGGGCCCTTACTCTCCATTCAAAGTTTTTCTTTGATGTGGGATTGTATAGCTCTACCTGCTAGAAGCATTATCTCAACAATGTGGGATTCACATCCACGCGAGGACCATAACATCCTCCCCCACCTCATTAAAGGTCTACTATCTTCAGTGGCACATTGCTAGTATTTAGAAGTTGAGAAGTCATATTTGACCTGACTTTTACTTTTAAGAAGTAGATAAGCTGAAAAAAATTAGACTAAACAAGCACTAAGTCAGATAACAAGCAACGTTATTAAGACTAAGTCAGATAAAGTTAAAAGACTTATAGGCTAAGAAAAAAAATTAAGCCAAGATACAAAAAAGCTCACTTAATGTGGGATTCACATCTACGCGAGG